CTCTGAGGAGGGCCTTGTCCCGAAGATTTGAGTAACTCTAGACTAAGAGAAAATAAGATAAACAAGAGGCACTATGGCTAGAGCAGACAGCCCAGGATCAAGGAATCAGACAGATGCCCTCCTTTCTTTCAGTTTCTCTGTCCTGGAACTCACTCTGTAGACCAGGCCGGCCTCAAACTCAAAGATCCACCTGCTTCTGACTCCTGAGTGCTGTGGTTAAAGGTAGGTATCACCAACACCCAGCAACACCATAAATCTCAATTAATACTAATGAAATATTGGGGTAGGGGTAGAATCATTCCCATTTGATAGTATCCACTAAAAAACTCCAAAACAATGAAGGGTCATAATCCCAGCATTTGGGAGGCAGTGGTAGGTAGATCTCTGAGTTCAAGGCTAGCATGGGCTGCAGAGAGTTACAGTGATGTGGGAAGTCCTTCTGGATATGTGTTGATTTTATTGGTTAAAGAATAGAGAAGCTAGCCGGGCGGTGGTGGCGCACGCCTTTAATCCCAGCACTCGGGAGGCAGAGGCAGGCGGATCTCTGTGAGTTCGAGACCAGCCTGGTCTACAGAGCTAGTGCCAGGACAGGCTCCAAAGCCACAGAGAAACCCTGTCTCGAAAAACCAAAAAAAAAAAAAAAAAAAAAAAAAAAAGAATAGAGAAGCTACTTGGGTCTACTGCAGGGCAGAATAGAGCGAGGCAGGGAAAACTAAACTGAATACTGGGAGAAAGAATGTCGAGTCAGAGAGGAGCCATGTAGCCGCCAGTGGAGAAAGACGTGAGCCGTCAGCCAGAACCTTGCAGGTAGGCCACAAGCATCGTGGTAAAATATAAAATAATAGGAATGGGTTAACTTAAGATGTAAGAGCTTGCTAAGAATATGCTAGAGTCATTGGCCAAGCAGTGTTGTAATTAATACAGTTTCTGTGTGACTATTTTGGGTCAGGGCAGTTGGGAACAAACAAACTGCACCCACCATTACAGGAAAGTTAGGACTCCATAGGGAAACCTGTCTCAAAAAACAAAAGCAAACAAACAAAAGAATACAACCAAAAGTCCAAAGGGTCCTAGCTGAGCATCTGCCTGTAATCTCAGCACTTGGGCAGGCATGCTGAGTTTGAGGCTAGACTGGGGGGCATAAGGAGACCCTCTCTCAAGAAACAAACAAGCCCACATGCCAAATAGCTCAAGGTGAGCAAATTGAGTCATGCCTTTAGTCCCAGCGACTCTGGAGGCAGAGGTGCAAAGATCAATTGAGGCCAAGAGTTTGAAACCAGCCAGTTGACTGCATGAGATTAAAAGTATTTGCTGTCAAGCCTGAGGACCTGAGTTCAATCCCCAGGACTCACATATGGAAGAGAGCCAACTCCTCTAAGTTATGCTTTGACCTCCATACATGTAAGGTGCTATAGCATGTACACACATGCATGACATAGACTCCTGATCTGAAACAGAAAACATCATCTAATTAAACAACCGATCATGACTACTCTTTGGGAAATGGGTGCAGGCTGCAATCAAAGGGTGTTTGTCTTATTTAGGTTTAAATCTTCCATAAGGAAAACACAGTCTTATTTCTACAGATAAAATTAAAGCATGTAAGCCAGGGAGAGGGCTCAATGGAGCTTGCTGTTCATTCCCTGGGAACCAGATAGTGGAGGTCAAAACTCGCCCGTGACCTCCACAGCAAGGCTGTGGCACACGAACTAAAACTGAGAAAATAAAATGTGGGGCCAGGCACGGTGGGACATGCCTTCACTCCCTGCACTCATAATCAGGCTGCAGAGGCAGGCAGCGTTCTGTGTGAGAGTTTGAGGCCAGCCTGGTCTATTTAGTCAGTTCCAGGATAGCTGGGGGTACGTAGAAAAACCCTGCCTCCAAAATAAACAAACAAACAAACACACTAACATATTAAGTAATGGAGTTGAAGAAACGGCTTATTGGTTAAGAACACTGGTTGTTCCTACAGAAAATCTGAGTTTAATCTCATCACCATATGGTGGCCCATAACCATCCATAACTACAGTTCTAGGGGATTCATGCCCTCTTCTGACCTCCTGGGCCACCATTCAGGGGTACACACACACAAACACATGAAGACACTCATACACATAAAACAAAGACAGAAGTGCCAGGGAGAATGCCCATTGGGGGCGTGTATTTTAGTATTATCATGACAGAGCACCAACGACGGCCACTGGGAGGCACTTAAGTGGCTTATCAGTAGCACAATGAAACATTGCCAAAGTCAGAGTCCTGTGATTGCTAAGTTTTTTGGTTTTTCAAGACAGTTTCTCTATGTAATCCTGGCTGTCCTGGAACTTAAGTATTGAACCATCTCCCACCCACAGGTCTTCCTCCCAACACCCACTAAGTAGACCAGGCTGGCCTCTGCCTCCCATGTGCCACCATGAAGGGCCACTAACCTTGATTGTCAACTTGAGATTTAGAATCACAAGTCATCTCTGGGAGTCTGGGGGGTAGAAGAATAAAATATTTCCAGGCTGCTTTTCTCCTGTCACTTGTATTATTTTTAATAAAACACTGATTGGCCAGTAGCCAGGCAGAGAGTAGAGATGGGATGACCAGAACAGGAGAATTCTGAGAAGAGTCAGTCTGCAGTCATCACCAGATGTAAGATGAGAATGCCTCGCTGATGAAAGGTACCAAGCCGTGTGGCTGACACAGACAAGAATTATGAGTTAGGATGTAAGAATTAATTACTAAGAAGCCTGAGCTAATAGGCCAACTACTTTATATGACTTATACGGACCTTTGTGTATTTCTTTGGGAATGAATGACTGCAGGACCAGGCGGGACAGAAACCTCGGTCAACACATTTTAACTCAAGTAGAAAGACACACCCTGAAGTTAAAAAAAAAAAAATGTTATGTGGGTGTTAGGGGGAAGACCTATGGGTGGGAGATGGTTCAATACTTAAGAGCACTTGCTATCTTAGAGGACCTAGGTTATTCCCAACACCCACATGGGGATTCCCAATCATCCGTAGCACGAGTAGTATATACATACATGCAGGTACAACACACACATAAATCTTAAAAAAATATTTTTTAAAGCAAGCTAAGCACTTGCATTCATCTTTCCACTTCCTAACTGCAGACTCAGTGTGACCAGAAGCCTCACAAACCTCTTTGTCATTCCTGTCCTGCCAAACTGCTAACCACACTGATGAGAGAAAGATAGGGAACTTTGGTGGCACAGGATAAAGGCTTGGAGAGGAGAGACACCCTACTCCAGAGATACTGATTTGCTTTTTTTCTTACTTTTCAAAAAAGATGTATTTATTATGTATATGGTGTTGTCTGCAGGCCAGAGAGGGCACCAAATTTCATTACAGATGGTTGTGAGCCACCATGTGGTTGCTGGGCATTGAACTCAGGACCTCTGGAAGAACAGCCAGTGCTCTTAACCGCTGATCCATCTCTCCAGCCCCTGATCTGCTTTTAACACCCACAAAGGCAGACTTCAGACTCCACTGAGAAGGATCTAACAGCCCATGAAAATATGTGCTTTCCAAAAGACTTGTCAAAGTCAGCAAATAAACTGCTTTAGGGCCAAGAGATGGCTCAGTGGTTAAGAGCACCGGCTACTCTAAACAACCATCTGGAAACTGTTTCAGGGGCACCAGAGACACAGCTGGTACACATGTACATATGTGCAGGCAAAACACCAGGCACACAAAATAAAATAAACTAATAAAACTTTAAAAGTAAAGAAAACTGCTCTTAGTGCCAGATGATACTTTTCCAGAAGCCATCTCCATCCAGGACGTCAATAGCAACTAGGCTGTGCTCACTTGGGTTACAAATGAGGTATAACCTCATGTTCCTAGCACTTTCTTCCATATCTAAGTGATTCTCCTCATAAACCACCACACAACTCCATTTACTGAAGAAGAGTCTTTTGTTTTGTTTTGTTTTTTTTTTCTGAAACAGGGTTTCCCTGTGTAGCCTTGGCTGTCCTGGAACTCACTTAGTAGACCAAGCTGGCCTTAAACTCAGAGATCCATCTGCCTTTGCCTCCTGAGGGCTGGGATTGAATGTACGAACAATCATGCCCAGCTATAAAATCCTTTAACTACCTTGTTACAGATGACACTTTGGGGAATGTTAGAAAGGAGCTGTTCTCTTAGCAATCTTTTCAGATGTAAGTTGAGAGCCACCAAGATCCCATAAGTACTCACTGTAAGCCTGTGACTCTCCCCTAGAGACACCCACACCCCTCCTATTGGGTGCCCTCCTACCGGTGAGCTTTACCCTCTCTTCCTGGAGCACTTGCTTCCTATCCGGCTCCCTCTGAAGTTCTCATCAGTGTCACAACTCTCAGCCTGGCCTGGGCGGAGGTCTCTGCAGAAAGTCTCAGGCAGCTGCTGCCCTGCGACTGTGTTCCTACCTCAGAGACAAACCCTTCGAGTTGCTTCTGTAAGGTGTTTTGTCAACACAATCAGTAACTCCTGCAGCTCCTATTTGTCATGGTAAAAGTTGTTCATAAACATGGCTACAAGAGCATGTTTTATAAAAAGCCAAAGAACCACCTTTAAAATTAAGCATGGCACTTCCGTTACTAACTGTAAAACTCAAGTTGTTTTGTTAACGATAATGCTGATAGAACTTTATAGCCATGTGAAGATGGACTGGAATGTTAGTGTAACAATTATTAAAAAAAAAAAACAAACTAAGGAAACAATGAAAACCATAAGATTACATTTCTAAATGAATTCTGATGTTTGTTTTTAATTATGTGCAGCCTGAATAATCAGAGTCAAAATAAACAGGAAGTGACTAAAAGGCTTCCAGAATATACTATATTCATAGGCTATCTCTCCAATATGGGTTCCTTCGGATGAGTAAGCTGAGGTCAACAAGTAAACTGTTTCTACATTCTTCAGTCCAGAGGGACTTTAAAGGTAGATTCTCTGATCGTTTTGAGTCTTCACATACATCTTGTGTGTTTTTATCACCAGTACAAGTTTTGATGCTGAATAAGTTGTGAATCATAGCTGAAGCCCTTTGCACAGTCCTCGTATTTACAGGCTTTCTTCCCCGCGTGCATTCTGTGATGACTGATGAGTTGTGAGCTCTGAGAGTAGGCTTTCCCACAAATCTTACATTCATAGGGCTTCTCTCCAGTATGAATCCTCTGGTGTCTAGTGAGGTCAGAACCAGACCGGAAAGCCTTTTCACACTCCTTACACTCATAGGGTTTCTCACCAGTGTGGATTCTTTGATGTTTAATAAGCTGTGAGCTCTGACTAAAGGCATTGCCACACTCCTTACATTCATAGGGTTTCTCTCCAGTGTGAATTCTCTGATGTTGAGTAAAATTCGAACCACTACTAAAAGCCTTCCCGCATTCTTTACATTCATAAGGCTTCTCGCCAGTGTGAATTCTCTGATGGCGAGTAAAATTTGAACCACTACTGAAGGCTTTTCCACAGTCCTTACACTCATAGGGTTTCTCGCCTGTGTGAGTTCTGTGATGTCGCGTCAAGTCGGAGCCACAAATAAACGTTTTTCCACATTCCTTGCATTCAAAGGGTTTCTTTCCAGTGTGAATTTTGTGATGATGGGTAAGTCCTGAGGGGTGTCTGAAGGTCTTGCCACAGTCCTTACATTCATACGGCTTCTCAACGGTGCGAACGATTTGATGGGTGGAAAACTGTGAGCCGTGTTTATAGTGCTTCCTATTTTCTTTACTCGCACAATATCTCTCTTTGTTCTTAACAATGTGCTGCAGCCGGAAGGACGGATACTGAGGGAGAGTGGGCGTGTCTTTGTGATTGAGTATCAGTTCACTGAACTGTCTCTCCTGCGATCCAGGCTGTCTCGCACACTGGCCATTCCATTCCCAGGCACCACGGAGACTGGAGCACTGAAGGTCCTGTCTTGTGAGTTTTCTCATTATCTCCCACTGTGCTGACTCTATCTCACAAAGTTCCTTCTTCAAAAACAGCTTCTGAGCCTCACATCTTGATTCCAGGACTAAAAGAAAATATGCAAGTGATCACTCACATTTTTACTGCTTGGGAGACATGAAAATTCAGTTAGATATAATATAAACATGGGAGAATTAAACTGATTTTTTGAAACTAGATGATGGTCAGCTGGATGAGATGGTATACACTGATAACCACAGCACTCAGGAAATGAAGACAGAGGTGTTGGGAGTTCAAAGTCATCCTGAGTTTGACATCAGTTTGGGTTTTATGAGAATCTGTATTAAGAATTAAAAGCAAAAACAAAACAACAACAACAACAACAACAAAAAAAAAAAAAAAAAAAACCTCTGAGGCTGGAAACATGGCTCAGTGGTTAGGAACACTTGCTGTTCTTGCAGAGGGCCCAGGTGGGAATTCTGTTCCCATAGGCACCAGATCTGTCCCCACTGCTTTAACTAAACCTCTACCATTCTATTTATAATAAATAAGACTTGAGAGTCAAAGGCTGGGGTGAAAACCTGCTAGCTCAGAGAGGCTGAGTAGCAACTAGCTGACCTTTTCTCCTTGCTGGCATCTCTGATGCCAGTCAAATAAACAACAACAGTAACAACAACAAAAAAAAAAAACCCATGCCACTCCAAATCCATCCCTACTACTTCCTGTGTCTCTCTATCTCTCCTGGATGCCCTCTGAGGCTCTATGATTACTTTCGGCCAACTAGTTGCTAACTCAGCCTCCTGACCCAAGGTTAATTTTATTTAATTAATGCAAATGCAAAATTGGAATTCACAGTGTGATCGAATATCCCCCAGCAAAAATCTCTGAGTTTAAGTACAGCCTGGTCTACAAAGCTAGGTCTAGAATAGCCAGGGCTATAAAGAGAAATCCTGCCTCAAGGGGAAAAAAAAAATTCAATAAAGGGGCCAGAAAGTAGGCTCAGCAGTTAAGAGCACTTGTTGCTATTGCAAAGGACCCAGGTTCAATTCCCAGTACATACATGGTGACTCACATGCCTATTAACTCCAGTCCCAGGGATCCAATGCCCTCATGTGATCTCTTTGGGCACCAGGCAAATACATGGTACATATACATACACAGGAGGCAAAAGTGCTATGGGATAATCCTTTTGTACACTGTGAATATGTATTACTCTCACCGGCTAATAATAAAGCTGACTGGCCTAAAATAAGGCAGGATAAAGTTAGGCAGGACAATCAAACTGAGGACTCAGATGAAGAAGGGTGAAATACGGAGAGATGCAAGCCAGCCATCCAAGAAGCAAGATGCTAGAGGACAGATAATGCCACGAGCCATGTAGCAATACATAGATTATTAGAAATGGGTTCATTTAAATGTAATAGCTAGTTAGGAATAAGCCTGAGCTATCAGCCAAGCAAGTATAAGTAATATTAAGCCTCCAAATGGTTATTTGGGAACTGGTGGGCAGGACAGGAAACACTCATTTACACAAAACAGTCATACAAATACTTTTAAAAATTTTAATCAATAAATAAAATAAACGAGAAAGCCAGGTATAGTGGCTCACACTTGCAATTGCAGGACTCCTGAGGCTGAGAAAAGACTTGCTGTGAGTTCAATCCAGCCTGAGCTACACCGCGAGGTCTACACAAAATTGGGTTATAAAACAAAACCCTGTCTCAATAAAACAAGATGAGACAATAAGAGATGATAGGATAATTACATAGGAAAGTCTATGTGAGCTACAATGATATGTAATAGGAACTCAATACTACTGTGGAATAAAATTCTTATCTAAGTCAGGAATAACTCCCTTTCCAAGGATCTGGTGATCTCTTCTGGCCTTCATGGATGTGCACAGCATGTACATGGCACATATGCGTGCACACAGACACACAGACACTGACACACACACACACTGTGCACTCTATAGGCTACTGATCTACACAGAGTTACAGGACAGGCAGCAATACATAGAAAGACCCTACCTCAAAAAATATATACACACACATATATATAAATATACATACATATATACAGATAGTTAATTCTCTTCTCAGTCATGTCAGTGATTAAAAAAGCAGCGTATTCAGGAACCGGTGTGAGAATACAAATGAAGGCGTGACACTACATACAACTTCCCTATGGACATGAGCAAAATGACAGTGCTTGTCTGCAGAAACAGCAGGGGGAGCACAGAAACAGTAGGGGGGAGCACAGAAACAGTAGGGGGGAGCACAGAAACAGTAGGGGGGAGCATAGAAACACCAGGGGGGAGCACAGAAACACCAGAGGGGAGCACAGAAACAGTAGGGGGAGCACAGAAACAGTAGGGGGAGCACAGAAACACCAGAGGGGAGCACAGAGACAGTAGGGGAGAGCACAGAAACAGCAGGGGGGAGCACAGAAACACCAGAGGGGAGCACAGAAACACCAGAGGGGAGCACAGAAACAGTAGGGGGGAGCACAGAAACACCAGAGGGGAGCACAGAAATAGCAGGGGGAGCACAGAAACAGCAGGGGGAGCACAGAAACACCAGAGGGGAGCACAGAAACAGTAGGGGGGAGCACAGAAACACCAGAGGGGAGCACAGAAACACCAGGGGGAGCACAGAAACACCAGAGGGGAACACAGAAACAGTAGGGGGGAGCACAGAAACACCAGAGGGGAGCACAGAAACAGTAGGGGGGAGCACAGAAACACCAGAGGGGAGCACAGAAACACCAGAGGGGAGCACAGAAACAGTAGGGGGGAGCACAGAAACACCAGAGGGGAGCACAGAAACAGTAGGGGGGAGCACAGAAACACCAGGGGGGAGCACAGAAACACCAGAGGGGAGCACAGAAACACCAGAGGGGAGCACAGAAACACCAGAGGGTAACACAGAAACAGTAGGGGGAGCACAGAAACACCAGGGGGGAGCACAGAAACACCAGAGGGGAGCACAGAAACACCAGAGGGGAGCACAGAAACACCAGAGGGGAACACAGAAACAGTAGGGGGAGCACAGAAACACCAGGGGGGAGCACAGAAACACCAGGGGGGAGCACAGAAACAGCAGGGGGGAGCACAGAAACACCAGAGGGGAGCACAGAAACATCACACACTGCAAACCTGCGGGCACAGGTCCATTATCCACCTACTTAGTTAGAAGGACGTGGAGCATAAGACCTGCCTGATTTATAGTGATTTCACAGTTGGACTGACTTTGCCTCAAATAAACAGGGGGGAAAAGGCTCTTAATCCCAGAACTAGGGAGGCAGATCTCTGAGTTCAAGGCCAGCCTGGTCTACAGCATGAGTTCCAGAACATTGAGGACTACACAGAGAAACCCTGTCTTGAGAAACAAAAGGCAAAAGCAAAAAAAAGTGAAAGTGAGGTGAGGGTCAGGGCGAACTTCGATAGCGTTCACTGAGCATGCTTGAAGACCAGGTTCACATACACATATGGGCCATACACAACCAACAAGAAAGCCCAGTTTTAAAACTCATTTCCACTGCTGCTCCATTGACAACAGCTCGGGGACAGAAGCTTAAATGTCCTTCACCTGATGAACAGATAATGAAAATGTGCAACATGGTGGGGCAGAGGAACACCTTTAGTGCCAGCACTCGGGAGGCAGAGGCAGGCAGATCTGTGAGTTCAGGCCAGCCTGGTCTACATGGCGAATTCCACGGCATGGCCTATGCAGAGAGAACCAGCCTCAAAATAAGATAGAGAATGAAAAAAAAAAAAAAAGAAAAAGAAGGTGTGAAACATTGATAGTGAAATACTATTTGGCTATAAAGAAAAATCAAATCATGAAATGTGCAGACAACTGGATGGACTAGATGCTACACTGCGTGAAGTGACCCAGAGAGACAACTGGATGGACTAGATGCTACACTGTGTGAAGTGACCCAGAGAGACAACTGGATGGACTAGATGCTATACTGTGTGAAGTGACCCAGAGAGACAACTGGATGGGACTAGATGCTACACTGTGTGAAGTGTCCCAGAGAGACAACTGGATGGACTAGATGCTATACTGTGTGAAGTGACCCAGAGACAACTGGATGGGACTAGATGCTACACTGTGTGAAGTGACCCAGAGAGACAACTGGATGGGACTAGATGCTATACTGTGTGAAGTGACCCAGAGAGACAACTGGATGGACTAGATGCTACACTGTGTGAAGTGACCCAGAGAGACAACTGGATGGGACTAGATGCTACACTGTGTGAAGTGACCCAGAGAGACAAAAGCAAATATGGTCTCTCATGTGTGCTTCCCAGCTCCAAGTCCTCAGATGTGAATATATGACCTGGAGCAACACAGGAAACAGGAAAGTGAAAAGAAGCCACGCCAGGAGGAGCTCTGGGAAAAGAACATCTGGACACGGGGTTGAGGGGGGACAGAGGAGCTCTGGAGAAAGAACATCTGGACACGGGGTGGGGGGGCAGAGGAGCTCTGGAGAAAGAACATCTGGACACAGGGGGTGGGGGCAGAGGAGCTCTGGAGGAAGAACATCTGGACACAGGGGGTGGGGGGCAGAGGAGCTCTGGAGAAAGAACATCTGGACACAGGGGGTGGGGGCAGAGGAGCTCTGGGAAAAGAACATCTGGACACAGGGGGTGGGGGCAGAGGAGCTCTGGAGAAAGAACATCTGGACACAGGGGGTGGGGGGCAGAGGAGCTCTGGAGAAAGAACATCTGGACACGAGGTAGGGGGGCAGAGGAGCTCTAGAGAAAGAATATCTGGACACAGGGGGTGGGGGCAGAGGAGCTCTGGGAAAAGAACATCTGGACACAGGGGGTGGGGGCAGAGGAGCTCTGGGAAAATAACATCTGGACACGGGGTGGGGGCAGAGGAGCTCTGGGAAAAGAACATCTGGACACACGGGGTGGGGGCAGAGGAGCTCTGGGAAAAGAACATCTGGACACAGGGGGTGGGGGCAGAGGAGCTCAGGGAAAAGAACATCTGGACACGGGGTGGGGGCAGAGGAGCTCTGGGAAAAGAACATCTGGACACAGGGTGGGGGGCAGAGGAGCTCTGGGAAAAGAACATCTGGACACGGGGTGGGGGCAGAGGAGCTCTGGGAAAAGAACATCTGGACACAGGGGGTGGTGTGTATGGGGCTGTCCTCTAACTGGGGTAACAGATGATACAGGAAAGAAAGGAGGGATAAACAGCACTAAGGACATTTGAAAAAGCTATAGGAAATCACATTATTTTCCATTTCCATCAAAGTGCATGTGCATGAACACACACACACACACACATCATACCTAGACCTAAATATTATTATTTGGGGGAGGTGGAGCAGACCGAGATTAGTTTTGGAAGTCAGTGCCACCTACTGCCTCCCCCAATCTCAGATTTGAGGTCTAGAAGCTTGTTGTTTGTGAACAAGTTCATCCTTGACCCCAAGCATGGGAAATAGAGCCCAAGAATGACAGTTTCTATGGCAACCCTTGGGTCAGTGCTTGCCATGGTAGGACAGCACCGAATTTGATATGGCTGTAATTTATTTGTTAACTTCTGGAGCTCCTATCTGATAACTGTACACATTATAGAAATAGTAAACAGTAATTAAAAGTATGGATGAGCCAGGAGATGGTGGCGCACACCTTTAATCACAGCACTTGGAGGGCAGAGGCAGGCAGATCTTTGTGAGTTCAGGGCCAGCTCCAGGATAGTGAGGGCTACACAGAGAAACCCTGTTTCAACAAACAACAAACAAAATGAAAAGGATGAATCAAGGAGGGTGTGGAACTTCTGAATAAAAACAAAACAAATAAAAAACCTAGTTAAAAAGCAAGTCCAATAGAACTTCAGGTCATTGGTTGTGGTAGTTTGAATGTAACTGGCCCCCATAATCTCCTAGAGCGAGGCACCACTAGGAGGCGTGACTTTGGAGTAGGTGTGGCCTTATTGGAGGAAGTGTGTCACTGTGGAGGTGGGCTCTGAGGTCTCATACATGCTCAAGTCACCCAGTGTCTCAGTTCACTTCCTGTTACTGATCAAGATGTAGGAGTCTCAGCTCCAGCACCACATCTGCCTGCACACTCCCACCCCCCACCATGCTCCCCACCATGATGGACTGAATCTCTGAACTGTAAGCTGCCACCACAATTAAAGGTTTTCTTTTATACAAGTTGCCATGGTTATGGTGTTTCTTCACAGCAATAGAAACCTAACAAAGACAATTAACCCACAGGTGCTGGGCTAATCTCCAGGAGGGAGTGATGGGGAGATATAAAATAGAGAAGATGTAAGATATAGAAGGGAAATGGAGGGGAAGGACAGAGGAAAGGGTGTGTGATCTGGGACAATGCAGGAAAGTGCATACTCCAGTAGTTACACAGTAGCTATGCAGAGGTGGCTGAGAAGTGTTGGACCCCAGACAGACTGCCCGTCAGGCCACAGTGCCCGCAGTCCCCTCTTCCCGGCCTCACAGATACTGGCAGGCACCCCATGGAGGGAAAGATCTGTGGACACCAGCAAACAGCCTTCCAGGTCCTTAGCCTTCTCATCTTTTCTTTCTTTCTTTTTTTTCAAGACAGTGTTTCTCCATGTAGGCATGGCTATCCTGGAACTCACTGAGCTCTGCCTGCCTCTGCCTTCAGAGTGCTGTGATTAAAGGTGTGTGCCACCAGGCCCAGCTTGCAATGGCTTTTTCAAAGGCAAGTAAGCATCTGACACCTGGAGGAAGGGAGGAAACAGACCTATCAATGGGCAAATCAGAGTTAGGATGGATGTCTTTACCCATCGAAAGCAGGTTGCTGTAGTTCTCCAACATCACATCTCTGTACAAGTCCCTCTGCTCCTCGGTCAGGCACTCCCACTCCTCCTGAGAGAAATCTATGTACACATCACGGAACAGCACCGACACCTGGAACAATAATCGCATATTGCTTGATTAATAAAAGGAAAAAGAGAAGTGTTTTGTGCAAGAAAAGTAACAGAAAAGGAATAAGTTGGAACAAGCTAAAAGCAGTGAGTGTGGATGCCTGGAATCCTAGGGAAGGCCTGGGCCCAAACCACTGCGCTTCCACGAAACTGCTTCCTCCAGATCAAGCCATCTGGGCTCAATGAATTCCTCCATTACCACATGAAGCTGGGAAGGCACAGAACCCAGCTTGGAGGACATCTGTATCAAAGGAAAGGAGTTATACAAAGCCTTATGGTATTCTCACCGCGTGGTCTCTTCTCAAACAGCCAAGGGTATAATTTCAGGATAGAAGAGAAAGCTGGGACATTAGAAGCATCCAGATACAGCAGGCTATATAAAGGCATCGAGAAGCAGGGGTAATGGGCTTCTGAACACAAGGAACAGAGCAATTCTGACCTAGAGATTCTATAACTCGACTATTTTCTGCTCTGAGTGTACGTTCCTAGATACACAAGGTCTCAAGGACAAGTTCTGAGAAAACTACTGGAGGATGGGTACACAGAATAAGGAGGTACACCAGAGAGAACCGCAGGATGCCGGAAACAGCTAAACTACTGGAGAATGGGTACACAGAACAGGGGGTACACCAAAGAGAACCACAGGATGCCGGAAACAGCTAAACTACTGGAGAATGGGTACACAGAACAGGGGGTACACCAAAGAGAACCACAGGATGCCGGAAACAGTTAAACTACTGGAGAATGGGTACACAGAATAGGGGGTACACCAAAGAGAACCACAGGATGCCGGAAACAGCTAAACTACTGGAGGATGGGTACACAGAACAGGGGGTACACCAAAGAGAACCGCAGGATGCTGGAAACAATTAAACTGCTGGAGGATGGGTACACAGAATAGGGGGTACACCAAAGAGAACCACAGGATGCCGGAAACAGCTAAACTACTGGAGGATGGGTACACAGAACAGGGGGTACACCAAAGAGAACCGAAGGATGCCGGAAACAGTTAAACTGCTGGAGGATGGGTACACAGAATAGGGGGTACACCAAAGAGAACCGCAGGATCCCGGAAACAGTTAAAATTCGGCAGGAGAATAGCAGAGGAAAATTCAGAGGAAAGAATAAAAGTTTCGGGAAAGTGATGGCAGGCTAGAGAGGAACCAGTTCATATCAGAGGGAGAGCACAAAGGGATGGGAAAGGCATCTCTATGTCAAAGAAGCCGATGTATTTGACCAGAGAGAGAAACACTAACTGGGGCTAGAGAGACGGCTCAGTGTATTTAGCAGAGGACCTAACTTTGGTTTGAGCACCCACAACCATCTATAACTCCAGTTGGAGGGGATCCAACACCCTCTTCTGGCCTCTGCAGATGCTATATGCACACAGTGCTGGTACAGACAGAAAGGCAAATACTCATGCACACACACACACACACCAAAAAATAAAAAATAAAAAATGAAAGAAACCTAGCTGGCCTGCGGTGGCAGGTGGCACACGCCTTTAATCCCAGCATCCAGGAGGCAAAGGCAGGCAGATCTGTGTGAGTTTAAGATCAACCTGGTCTATAAAGTAAGTTCCAGGACAGCAAAGGTTTTTAAATAGAGAAACCCTGTCTCAAAAAACCAAAAACTAAGAAAGGAAGAAACTCATGATGTGTGGTAATGATGTTATTGAACTTTGGGTCACAGACTCTGCACCAAGCCAGGTTTACTCATCCATCAATAAGCCATTTAAAGGAGCCAAATTCACAGTGGAAAGTAGAATGCTGGGCACGGTGGCACACTCCTTTCATCCCAGCACTTGGGAGGCAGAGCGGGGAGGATCTCTGTGAGTTCAAAGCCAGCCTGGTATAGAAAGAGGCACACTGAAGGGGGGAGGCACTTGTTATAATAAGTGTCTTTATAGGCATATTTATTTCAGATTAAATAATATTCTATCTTAAAGATAATAAATACCAATTTTTTGCTCACATGCTTGCTTTGCTGCTTGGGATGAAATCCAGGAATTGAGGGCTTTTTCATGCTAGACAAAGTATTTTACCAATGAGCTACTTCCCGGTTCTTGGCTCCCTGCACCTCCAAGACAGGATTTCTCTGTGTAACCCTGGCCATCCTGGAAATTACTCTGTAGACCAGGTTGGCCACGGACTCAGAGATCCGCCTGCCTCTGCCTCCCGAGTGCTGGGATTAAAGGTGCGTGCCCCCACCACCCTCCTAGTTCTTGGCTTTCCGAGACAGGGCTCACTATGTACCCCAGGGTAGCCTTGAACTCACCGCAATATAAGCTGGCCTCAAATCTGCCATCATCCCAAGAGCTGGGATTCAGGCATGAGCTACCCCAGCAGGCATAAATGACAACTTCTCATTTCCCTTTAGACATTTAGGCTGATATTAATCTTCAGAGAGTTCCCCTGAGCAGGGGGGGGTAGCTCACTCAGTAAAACACCTGTCTAAAAGGCATGAAACCCTGGGTACCATCCCTAGAGCTATATGGACTGGGCACGGTGGCACAAGTCCTCAGCTCAATGAGCTGAAAGCCAGCCTAGAAACCCTGTCCCCAAACACCCACAAAAGACAACCTTAATACTGGCAACAGTGTTATTGATAACCACTCCTGCTGAACTGCCAATAACCCTTGTCAGCGAGCCTTAGGAAAACGATGGAGAAAGATGCTGCCTAATGCAGCGGTGCTGGGCTGGAGATGCTCAGCGGGTGAGAGCACTGGTTGCTCTTCCAGAGGACCCAGAGTCCATCCCCACACCAACACTGGGGCTCACACCATCTATACATACAGACCCAGGGGATCTGATACCCTCTTCTGACCTCTACAGGTACTGCATACATGTGGCACACAGGCATGCTTGCAGGCAAAACACACACGTAAGATTAAAATAATATTATAATAAAAAGCTCTTGGGGCGGGGGAGCTCAGTGATATTACAGGCGGTTAAGTTTTCCTGGATGCTCACCAGAATGTCAGCTTTGACCGTCCAGCAGTCATCCTTCCAAACCTAAAAGGCTCATAAACCAGGAGACAAGCCAGGTTCTACGACTGAAACTGAGCAAAGCGATCACACTTATTTTCTTTCTTCATTTTTGTTGTTGCTAGTTTGGGATAGCATCTTGCCGTGTAGCCCTGGTTGGTCTGAAACTCAGTATGTAGACCAGGCTAGCCTTGAACTCTTCCTGCCTCTGCCTCCTGAGTGCTGGAAATAAAGGCGTGCACCAGCGTGTTTTGGTTGTGAGCCCAGCTGGACCCCCAAAGCTTTTTTAAATTTAGTCTATTAAAGACCCTTTCCTTTAGAGCAGCGGTTCTCAACTTGTGGCGTCACGACCCCTGGGGGGGACAACAACCCTGTCTATAGAGGTTGCCTAAGAGCACCTGGAAACAATGATATTTACATTATGATTCATAACAGTAGCAAAATTACAGCTACAAAGTAACAAGAAAAATAATTTCAAGGTCAGGAGTCAGCACACAGTGAGGAGCTATTACAGGGTCCCCGGGTCAGGAAGGCTGAAGCCTGCTCAAGACAGAGCAAGACTGAGACTGTGCAGTCCCTGTTTATAACTGACAGGCTTTAACACCAACCAAAACAGCATCACAAGGGAGAAAGCAGGCATTTATTTGCACTAGAGACAAAATTGACTCGATTTGCATACAAAAGGGTTACACCTCACCTGAGCCATGGCTTGACAGTCGCAGCTCCTCTCTGCTGCTCTTCAGGAACAGAGTAGAACTGGCAGAGGCAAAGAGAATACTGAGACCGCATTGACACAGTTCTCAAACAATCATTCCCTGTGCTCACCCCACACACTGAGGAGTCTAAGCGGGAAGAGAGGACAGCATCCCCAACTTCAGAAAGCCAGGCACTGGATCCAAACGGGTGGGGCTTGGGCAAGTGTCTCAGCACCCACGAGACTGAGGCAGTAAAATTACCACAGGTTTGAGGCCAGCCAGGCCCACATAGAGACTGGCCTCTCTACCTCTGCCGGCCCCTCTCTCGCTCACTCCTCCCCGCACCTCTGATTTTGTGAGACAAGGTCTCACGGTGACAAGACCTCATTGTGCAGACTAGGCTGGCCTCGAACTCACAGAGATCCACCTGCCACTGCCTCCAGAGCACCAGAGCGCCAGGCTTAAATATAAATCTTTTTTTTAAATCACATTTTAAACTTTTTCTTTTTTCGGTAAGGATTTGGAGCGTTTATCCTGCAAGCGTCTATATGTGCATCCGCTCCGGAATATTTTGCATCAGTTAGTAGAGTGGAACACATGACTCCACCAATACTTGCACTGGTAGACATTGAAGTTCTGTATCCTATTGTAAAAGTAATTATAAGTCTGGGGTAGCGCTGGCACTCGGGAGGCAGAGGCAGGTGGATCTGTGAGTTTGACGCCAGCCAGAACTACACAGTGAGACCTTGCCTCCAAAAAATAAATTAAACATTAAAACTGTCACGAAAGTATGTTTATAGGATTAAAAATGAGAAATGTTCAAATACCTACTACTACGAGATGAATACATGCACTATACTTCAGATCCTGGAACACCAAACAGCAAAACAACTCAGTAAGCCGCTATCCTACTTAACACGGATGAGTTCCACCACACAGGTGTACAAATAAACGTAATAAAAGACAAAGGAGAGCGTGCTAGCACTCACATGAAGTTCTAAAATGAAGAAATATAACGCACGCAGAGATATACATCCGAAACTTCACACACAACCCACAGACCCACAACAGCAACATTCAACTACAGGAATCCTACCTACGCGATGCCAAGAGAACCACACACTCGGCGACTCAAAAGGTAGCATAGTACAACGGTACTTTTATCAGGAGCACAGACTGAAAGGTAATTCCGCCTGTCCTGTGCTGCACATGGACACAGCATCGCACAGCGCACGCCACTGCAGGGACCGAACACTCAACCACTCACAAGCGCTCCACATCCACACAATACCGCACGTGGTCCCCAGCCCGCCGGCTCTCACTCACCGAGGGGTGAGAAACAGATGCTCATCACAACTGCAGCCCCTTAGCACCGCACGGTCACGCCTCACAAACTAACCGCGCAATTCCGACCTCGACTCCTCCGCCGCACAAAGCCCAAGCTCCGTGCTCGCCCCGCCCTCCTCCCGGGTTCTGCACCTCAGGCCTACCAAGCTTCCCAAACCTTGCAACTCAGCAAAAGCCAGCAAAGCTCTGAAGTCGTCGTCGTCCCCCCCCCCCGCCCGAGTCAGACTTTACCGCGAGAAGCCGAGGAGGCTTCTGGGAAACGTAGTCAGAGACAACTTCTCGGACAAAATGATTCCCGATGGGCGGGGTTTCTGTGCGCGTTCGGTTGAGGCGTGGCCGAAAGGATTACACCCCTCATCGAAACGCGTCCCGCAGGATTCATAGAACCCTGAGTCAGTCTCCAAAAGTGCATTTAAAACCAACTTCAAAAAGCTGGAATTTTTTTATGTCCTGTTCCTTCGGTATTATCTGTAGGCGATGAACAGCAACAGGAAAAGGGCGGGGAGCGGTGGGGGCAGAGTGTGATTTGCATAGTAAGGGTATTCGCACGGCTGAGATTGCTGGGAAGTGTAGTTCAGTGCAATAGAAAAAAAAAGACTCATAGGCTGTTCAACTGTGGTGTTCTCAATTCCTCAGAGAGCTGTCTTTGCTTGGCCACCTCTAGGGTGCTAGGGGCCCAAGAAGTGTGCCGGAACAGATTTCCTAGGCGGACAGATAGATGGCGTTTTCTGGGAATGAATTTGGCTTGTTAAACTTCAGTGCTGCGTTGAAGATTTAATGAGAGACCCCAAGCAGATCCTCTAGATTTAAATGATGAATATCAGGAACCGGGCTTGAATCCCCAAATGCCTGTACTTCTAGCACTCAGGTGATGGGCAAGGATCAGAAGCTCAACGTCATCCGTAGCTAACGCGGGGATAGTTATGTTAAAAGCAAGTACAGCGAAACACTTAGAGAAAGGATCTTTGTTAGTTATTTTTTTTTTTTTTTTTTTTTTTTTTTTTTTTTTTTTTTGGTTTTTCGAGACAGGGTTTCTCTGTGGTTTTGGAGCCTGTCCTGGAGTTATTTTTGTAACTAATAGAAACACCTCATCTAAAAGATAACGAATCAGTTGATCTGAAATCGACAGTTTAAATGGCATTAACATTAAATCCCTAAATCTCTATAAGATCAAGGTTTTCGCTTCAGAAAACAGGAATAACATGGCTTACCTCACTTCTCTGCTAATCGCAATGATCACTTGAAAGCATTCTTGGTCCAGCACTTCCCAAATCAGCCGCCACAGTCCTGCTGATGGAGAAGAAAGTCGAAGGAAAGAAATTGGTGATATGAACTATTTACTAATAAACTTGCTGGGAGCCATGAAGTCACGTAAAATAGAACTGAGCTTACTGAACTTTGGGATGTTTTGTCTCCAAAACACCCCAAAGATAAGTATTCTACTAGCCAGGTCCGTTAGCGGTAAGTGACTTTGGGATTGCTTGCTGTGGTGGAGAGAGTGAGAACTGCTCCCATAGGCTCACGTGATTGAGTGTTCAGTGGCCAGTTAGTGGGACTGTTATGCCCAAGTTTCTGGTCCCCAAATGAATTCACAGAGCCAGATTTCCGAAGCAAAGTACATGAGTGTTTTTTAATATTCAAACTTAAGTTTGGACCAACACCTTTCCAGCACCCCAGCATGGTGGGTGCGGAAAGGGTGGCCAGGAGCCCTGGGATTCCTCTTTCTGACTCTGTTCCATGTGTTTTGAGCAGTGGCATGCTTTTAGTAGGGCCCACCAAGAGCATCCACTTTGCCCAATTCCTGTTCACTCTATGTGTGTGTGATCATACATGTAACTTAAATCCACTTATGCTTAATGTTATAATTGTTCATTGTATCTGATTTCAGACTACAAAACAATAAGTCTCATGTTTTAAACTGGTATGTACTTTTAAATCTCTTACAAAAATACTTTATATTTAATCCAACCCTCATTTAAAATATATTAAGATATTCTCTACTATTGTCAGTTCTGCCATTAACCTATTGCAAGCATTTTTTTCTTCTTTCTGTCTTTTTATTAGTGTAAACCTTACCTGTTAAGAGCCTGTACAGGGGCTGGAGAGATGGCTCAGTGGTTAAGAGTACTGCCTGCTCTTCTAGAGGTCCTGAGTTCAATTCCCAGCAACCACATGGTGGCTCACAACCGTCTGTAATGAGATCTGGTGCCCTCTTCTGGCCTGAAGTAATGCTAGCAAGCAGAATACTATATACACAATAAATAAATCATTAAAAAAAAAAAGTCAGTACAGTCAAGCTCAGACCCAGCTCTCCAGGCAGATTCTATACTGTAGTTTTATCTGATAAACAGCCCTCAACTGCTCAGAGATCTGGAAAATATGGCATTTAAATATTTAACTATTAAAAAACTTTTCATAACAAAAAAAGACAGGTTGGCTCCTAGCAGCAGCACTCTATTACCTCCAAAGAAAACAGAAGACAAATGCGCACACAACAACGTCCATCTGCAATTTACTTCAATTGCTAAGTGCTGACCACTGGGCAAAACTGCCTTTTATCTGGACTGAAGATCTCCAGATGTGGACAAAATCACTTGAATCAATAGCCTACCTGCTTAGGTCAGGGTGGGTTTTTCTTCCTACAGATTCCTTGGCCCATGGGATCTTCTGGAGCCTGGCAGGCCCTGTGCTAAACAGCAAAAGGCAAATGTGACCATCAGCAACCATGAAAGACCCTGAGGAGTAGCTTTGGGTGCCAACCAAGTAAGTTCTCTGTCATTTTTTAAATCAGTAACTCAAGTAAAATTTTATCCTTCTCAAAGCTAGATGCAGTTTGACAGCTGAGAGGTTTTGTCAGTTTAAAAGGACAGCCTCACCAAACAAATTTCAGTAAAATACAACTAGAATACCTGCAAGGTGTGAGGACAAATACAAGTTATCAAACTTCTCTCTCATTGTACCTTCCATAGTCTTAAAAACACTTTTCATTGTGCAAAAATATCTGTCACAGTTATTCTGACATAAATATGCTACTGTTTATACAATGTGTATGTCTAAAACTTCTATTTTCACAAACCCAAATTCTTGTGAGTTCCAGGGAGCCAAATTGAAGGATCCACCTCAAACAGATTAGATACATCCCCCTCAATTTCCTCTTCCTAAAATTTTTTCCCTTAATTTAACTTTGTCCTTTGTTCTGCCAACACCTTAAACAGGTGTAAGAGACACCAGACATTTCTATACCACAAGCAGTGGACAGGAGCAAAGAGACCAGCTACCCCGGGATGTGGCCAGTACCCAGCCTTCTCAGGTTCCCCCCAAAGACAACGCCCCCAAATAAGCAGGAAGAAGTTTTGAGAAGTGGCCACCTCAATTCCTTTAACCTATGGTGCCTAACCTCTCGCCTTTTTATTTAAAAAAGAGATGGAAATGTAATTATCTGTTCCGTCTCTTTAAGAGACAAGCCACGCCCACTCCCTCCCCCATCTGCTGAGGCAAGCTGATCTTCAGCTTCCAGCCTGAGTTCTCTTCTTCATCTTCCTCTCAGAGAGGCAACTTTGGTCTCTCCCTTCTCTCTCCTCTTTCTCTTTCTCTCTCTCTCTCTCTCTCTCTCTCTCTCTCTCTCTGCCTCTCTGTTCTTCTCCCCTTCTCCCTTCCCTTCCAAAACCACTAAATAAATATCCAACCTCACTCTGTATAGTGTGCCTATCCGTCTGTCTCTCACCTGCCCACTGCTGCCACCACATGGCTCACCAGCAGAGACCAGCCACCTTCAGAGACCTGCCACATGGTCTCATGCACTATCCCTGCCTAGGACTGGCTGCTCTTGGGACCTGCAGCCCCCTGCCTGCTGGGGATCTGCAGCAATTTTTAATAATCCATTACAAATGTTATACCCAAGTTTCTGGTCCCCAAATGAGTTCACAGAGCCAGATTTCTGAAGCAAAGTACATGAGGGTTTTTTAATATTCAAACTTAAGTTTGGACCAGCACCTTTCCATCACCCCAGCATGGTGGGTGCAGAAAGTGTGGCCAGGAGCCCTGGGAGGGTTGAGCTTTTTGTTTGTTTTTTGTTTGTTTGTTTGTTTGTTTGTTTGAGACAGGGTTTCTCTGTAGCTTTTGGAGCCTGTCCTGGAACCAGGCACTGGTGGCACACACCTTTAATCCCAGCACACAGGAGGCGGAGGCAGGTGGATCTCTGTGAGTTCAATGCCAGCCTGGTCTACAAGAGGGTCAAGCTTTTATTTTGATTTTTCGAGACAGGGTTTCTCCGTAGCTTTTGGTTCCTGTCCTGGAACTAGCTCTTGTAGACCAGGCTGGCCTCGAACTCACAGAGATCCGCCTGCCTCTGCCTCCCAAGTGCTGGGATTAAAGGCGTGCGCCACCACCGCCCGGCTGAGGGTCAAGCTTTTAAAGAGGAAACGCGGGGAGTTCATGTCCTGTCGTCTTGGGATTGGGTAAGGAGGGCATAGGGTAAGGTAGTTTCTGAAACAGTTGGTCAGTTTTTGGGTGTGAAAACCTAACGAAGAACCATAAATGACTGACAAGGTATCTTCAAGGACAGATGCCTCCCAAGAACATCTGGCCCTGTTCCCTATCTTCTTTGTTGTGCTCAAATCCACAAGGTCCCCACACAAACCAACAAGGAGACCAAGTGAGTCCCATATGTAAAAGCAAAGAGCCTCTATTTTAATCAAGTTTGCAAACACGGTCTCTCGGTCTCTCCAAATGCCCAACGTATTGGGATAACCAGAGAGCCCTGAGCTCAATTAGAATAGGGTTTTTATAGTAGTAAAGGTGGGGGTGAAGGTATGTGAGGTTCAGGACTCCTGATTAGCTGACATTTGTCTAGGGGTGTCCTGGTGAGGTGTGCTGGCAGGTGATCCTATCGACAGTGGTTGGAATGCTAGGTATTTCCTTTGAATGGTTTGTTCCTGGGTCAGGGTCTGGTAACTCAGCTTGTGGTTCTTCTTGCAACCAGGTATTGCCTCAGGGTAAACTACTGAGACTCAGACCTCTTATTAAAATTTATCGAGGACCTAGTTCTACTCTGGCAGGTGATAATGGTTGGAAATAAAGACCTTCCTTTGAGTGACCTGTTCATACTTAGCCTATCATGGCTGGCCCCCACATTCTTAATTGGTCATTTTAGGGTATCTGTTCAAACTTCTGCCATGGCAGC